TGAGACGTGGGCATCAGCCTCAGTAGCTGACTCCGAACTCTCTCTCCTAGGCTACAATTGCATTCGAAATGATCGCCAAGATAGCCGTGGTGGGGGCAGCTGCGTCTACGTTAAGCAAACACTTACATGTTTGCCGTTGGACCTCCTGCACTTTTCCGCAGTAGAAGGCAGCTGCTGGCTCCAGGTTGCACAAAAAATAAGTTCTCCTTACTCGTTGGCTGTGTCTATCGCCCTCCCAACGCCAATGACAATTTTGATCGTTTACTCTCACAGGCATTTCATGCTGCGACCGACTTAAGCTTTAAGTATCAATGGGTTGCGGGTGACTTTAATCTCCCTGAAGTCCGCTGGTCTCCGCCTTCAGGCCCCAGAAGGTTCGATGACATTCTTAAGGCTGTGGATGTTGGGATGTGGAATCAGGTTGTCGATTTTCCCACCCGAGGCTCAAGTATACTTGACTTAATTTTCTGTAGAGGTTGCTTGCCATCGTCAGTGTCATCCCTAGGCCCACTCGGGGGCTCAGACCATGACATAGTTGTTTCCACGTTGGAATTCGAGGCTGACGAAATGTCGTCCCAAAAGTATAACTTTTTCCGCGATTTCCGATCAACTCGCTCAACCGAATTATTAACACACCTTAATTCCTACGACTGGACTGATTTCTTCCTTAGTTCGGATGTAAATGTTTGCACTGCAAAACTGTACGAAATTTTGGGTCCGCTTATTTCTCGTTTTGTCCCCCGTAAGAAAATTATTACTGTTGGGGATGAGATTTTCCTACCTTTACCCTTTCGTCGCAGATTGCGCAGGCTTTATCGTCGTTTCCATCTGCAGAACGATGTCTCTGTTCTGCCCTTGATTTGTGATATTTTTGATCGAGCTAAAAGATTGTCTGAAGAAAAACAGCTAGCCAAAGAGGTCCACTTTACCGAAAACCATTCGTTAAGTGTCTCGAAACGTTTCTCTAGAAAAATACGAACTCAGAGAAAGACGCAGTATCCCATCCTTCGCGACGATCTCGGAAATCTCATAGTTGATGCCCAGTTAACCGCGGATAGCTTCAATGATTTCCTGTCCAAAACGTTTATTGAAGACTCGACCACTCCGCTTCCGACCATCCAGTCATTGACCGGGGCAGTTCTAGAAACTATAACTTTCACTGTGTGGGATGTGACTGTTGCGATTCGGCGTTTTCGTCAATCTTATAGTCCAGGCCCTGATGGTGTCCCTGTAAGCATTTTAAAAGCCGATGCAAACGCGATCTTCCCATCCCTCTTATGCAAGATATTTAATCTTGCTCTTGAAAGTGAAACTTATCCTACCTTGTGGGAGGAATCACACATTTTGCCCATTCCTAAGCACGGCAAATCTACATCATTTGATGACTTTCGGCCAATAAACACCCTCCCTGCAGTTTCGAAAATCTTAGAGACATTGATCAAGGATAAGATGATGTGTCACTTTACAGCGAACAACATACTGAGTGTTGCTCAGCATGGATTCCTCAAAGCTCGATCTTGCGACACCTGTCAACTCTCTTTCTTTGACTATGTTCTCCAATCTAGGGACCATGGTTTTGCTCTTTACACGGTATATTTCGATTTCACGAAGGCTTTTGACCGTGTTGACCATGCTCTTCTCCTCTTGAAATTGTCATCTTTCGGAATAGGTGGCAAACTTTTGAATTTTATATTCTCTTATTTGGGCACTCGCACACAACGAGTTAAGATTTCCAATACCATCTCCAACCCCACACGTGTGAGGAGTGGAGTCATTCAGGGTAGTGTACTCGGCCCGCTTTTATTTTGCCTTTTCGTTAATGATGTACCCGATTTATTTCAGAATGGTAAGCCTT